GCTGTAGGTGTCCTAGCATGGGGGGGGCAGGGCTGGACTGAGGCAGCCGGGGCTCAGTTTTGATCTAGGGGCATGAGATGACTTTTTGGAGCAGTTTGGTGAGCGAGTGGGAGGAGGGTTACAAATATGAGGGAAGAATCATGATGGATTTATCACAGCCTGAAATAAATTAACCTCTGGGAGGAATGATTTTGTAATGATTTGCTTTTAGATACTCTGACACATCCAAATAACCCCAAACCTTCTGCAAACATTGTAATGAATTCAATCTCCAACATCCTGTGAGAAGGATAGAAATAGCACTATTTACATGGTTAAAGGAGCCAAGGATGCTTCTCTCAGTATTGCATTTTACACCTCTGGGACTGGCCTTCTCTCTTGTTTTTGTGGCTATGGAGCCTCATGGTGGGGTGAAATGCAGCAGCAGTGAACAGCTAGAGAGCTTTTCTGAACTCAGTTAGCTGAGATCCTGCAGCCCCAGTGTGTTACACTACACGCCGTGGCTGCAGCGGCTCCCGGCACAGCCTGTGGCAGGTGGGCCCACGGCCAAGGGGAGCCTGCATGGGCCAGGGCAGTGAGGCCAGGAACACGTGGGGGAAGAAGCAGGGATCTGAGCCCCGTCTCAGCTCATGTCAGTGGTGGCTGTGGGCATGGCTATTCCCTCTATGGGGACATTGCCACAAAGCAGCCTGGCTCCGTTCCTGAGGGGAAAGTGGTCAAGTGATTTAATATTCAGCACTCTCAAATGCAGTAACGAATTTGATAGCCAAAATGATCTGCTAACCTAGCCAGCTGAGGGGACGTTTGAAGGACAATCCACGCCCATAGCCAGGCAGTGTGATATTTTCTTGTCATCAGCCTCCTGCCTATTCCTTTCCACTCCAGGGCAGTTAATCATAAATGAGATGTTTGTTCGATGCTGTTTTCATGCATGCTCTGCCCTGTCTCCGTTTCCAAGAGACCGTGAAGTCGGTGGGTTACATCCCACCCCGGCTTCGGCAGCATTTGCAGGAGGGCCGGCTCTTTCAGGGGTACCCGGATTGAACCACACATTTTGGCTGCTGAAGGCTTGGGCAGGCCAATAGTTTTCTGAAGGGAAGCCGAGCATCCCAAAGTGCATCTTCTCTTACTCACAAATGTATCTTAAATCCAGAGTGCTTAGGACAGTGCGGAGGTTGTATTAGTTCAGCCATCGAATGCACCCTGAGCGCCTCCGTGCTCCACTGCGAGGGCTGCTCAGCTGGGGGTTGCAAGTCAAGAGCTGGGAGAGATGGCTGGGTTTCAGTTACAGACTTCTATGGGATAGTGTAATTCTCTTTGGGCCTGACCCAGAGTTGGCTTGAGTCACTGAGTGTATCTGTTATCTTCAAGGAGATTTGGAGCAGCCCTCTGCTTGCTGCTGGTTTGGCTTCTGCCGTGCTCACTTGCCTTTCTGTAAAGCTCTTGCAGGGGCTGGGAGCATGTGCTCTCAAGCAAGCGGTTAGCAACACATCAGCTGTATACAGGGAGAAATTTCTCTGACGCAGCAGTGGAGGGAACATACACTGTATCTTGCAGATTTACTCCTTGTAAAACACCTCTAGCTCTCCATAGATATCTGCAGATAATCTCCTGCCAAGTGAACCCAGAGATATTTATAGTGCAGTTTCAGCAATGACATAATGTCAAGTTAGCAAACAAATGAACTTTGAAATAAAAGGAGAGCAAAAATACAGTCAAGAGTGCATTTATTTTAGAGTCAATAAAAAAAAGGTTAAATAATAATAGGGAATGTTTCAAGGGTGGGTCAGGTTAAAAAGCAAAGAAAGCAAAGCATTTTCATAGTGCTGTAAGACTGTTTTGTGTGCACTGACTTTGAATTACAAAGACAAATGATAAAAACTTTGCTTCCCACTGAGATAAAGTGCTGTGGTGCCGAGTACCATACAAATGCCTGCAGAAAGCTAAGATAAATGCTCCTTCAAAAAGGATTGAAACTGCTCTGAATTCAAGCATTTAAAAAATTCTATATTCCATTCACAAAGTTGTGTAAAATTAAGCAATTTTAGCTATGGGTGTGACTTTTCCCTTGCTTTCTGTCTTTTTTTCCTCTGTCTCTTTCCTCTGTTTTGTGGTGCCGGCTGGCTGGAGGTTATTTGAAGCTCTGCTAGCACAGCAAGGTATTGGACTGATGCCACCCTGCTGAAACATGCACTCTGCTTTGCCTGGGGTGGGAGTGTGGAGGTTTTTGTCTGGTCATGTCACGTTTTAATTAGAGCACCTCACACTTCTGCTGCTCTTTATTGTTTGTCAGGGAGCTTGGGCCGCAGCATGGGGCTCTTCCTCCCCGTCCATATTCCTCCTGGGGCCAGGCCCTGCTCTTCCCCAGACGCAATCCCCACGCTTTCCCCCTTTCTTTCGTTTCTAAAGCCTGTGTGGGAGAATGCACCTGACCAGCAGCTTTGACAAACGTGTAGGAGTCTCCTTGCTGGGGCGGCCACGTTTGCTCTCCCTAGTTTCAGGCAGGTCTCCCACACGAATCCTGCTTGAGGAGGTAGGGGAAACCATTGTGCAGCCAGACCCTGCTTACTGACAGCAGGCCAGGAGATGGGGGTTCCCCAGGCAGTCGGTTCCCACTGCCTTATCTTGGTTTACCAAACCAGGAGATTTTTAAAGGGTTGTTCGTGGCTTACACTGAACCTGCAAGCCCTGGTGGGTAACAGCACATGGAGAAGTGGTGGAAGTGCTCATGCTTTTGGGTGCTATCAAGTGCAAGGGCTAGCAGGATCAGGACCTCATCTGCAAAATTTATCAGCAACTGAGCCGGTGGCGGTAAAGGCAGTCTTTGGGAACCGTTGGGATCCTTTGGGATCCATTTCCTTGTTTATAGTCCTTTCAGAGAGGCCGGACACTGAAAAGGCCTTTTGTCCTGAGGGCACCAAGGCAGTGTGGAAGGATGCATACTGCAGTAAAACAACTGTCAACAAAACTTCAATCCTCGTCACAAATCCTGTGGCAGCAGAAATCGGACGGAAGAGGCTGGACAAGAAGAAAGTTTTAATCTGCCATGACAGGAAACAAAGCTGTGTCTTGTCAAAAATTTCTGCTCCCTTTTTTCTGCCTGCCTGTCACACGTCAGCAATCCTCACTATGACCTTCTTGTACAAATGCAGCTTTACAGAAATGAGCTCAGAGAATGAATTGTAACAACCTGGTTTATAAAGGAAGGAAAGGCTTAGGCAGGCACTGTAACTTAAATTGCATTTGATATGACAAGTGCTGAGCCACAGGATGTTTATATTTGACTCCTATTTTTTATATTGAAGCAAGTTGCTGTTTTTCCTGTTGCTTTGACGGTGTGGCACAGTGATGCCTGGGTACTCACAGGCACTGGGAGGGGGGTCCCATGGGAGACTGGAGCCCACGGGACACACTGCCCTCCCTGACGCTCCTCTCAGCCAGGAGCATGACACAAGCCTGATGATGGGAGTTATTCTCCTACGAAAGCTGGTGAGCAGCAATTCCCATCACATAGGCAGGAAGACTGCTCTGTCAGTGCAAATGCACATGATAACCTGTTTTCCAAGGGCAGGGTCACCCCAGCACCCTGCAGAGGTTGCTCCACAGCTGTTTGTGAGCAGGAACCCAAGGGCCAGCAAAATGCAAACTCATCCTGAATGGCTTCTGCCTAAAATACATCAACTACAGAGCACTCTGGTCAAAATTGCTCTTAGTCAAGCTACTAATGACATGGCATTCACGAGGGTAGGACGCATGCCCAGTTTCAAAGAGCTTTTACCCTAAGGCACCCATTTGCTAAGGGTTCTATCCTGGAAATAGCTAAGGACTTTAATGGGAAACTCTGTAGGACTGTGCAAGTTCAGGATTTGAAGCTGTCAAGACACACAAGATAAAACACGATTTTAAATATATGTTTCAGCTCAGCTATGACGTTAAGACAGCAGTCCTGTAAAACTGCCAGCAAAATCATTGGCAATCCCAATCAAATTATGTTAAGCATGGTAACTTCTTTGTAATTGGTTTATCTCAGTGCATGCTTGGAACAAGGAGGTTTTTTATTCTTTAAAAAAAATAACCCTGATATTTGATTTCATTCAAATGAATTTTATTGCTGGGTAAGGAGAAATGTAGGGTGTGTCTGCAGGTGGATGTGTCTTTGTTTGTAAGGACTCATAAGAACTTAGGCAATTATTTTTAAAATGTTGCTGACTCTGCCTATGCAAACGCTTGCTTCTCCACAATAAAGAGATTGCAGAGGACAGGAGGAGCTCCCATACCGAAGAATTTTTCAATTTGACTGCCGAGTCCTCTTGCCTTTCCTGTCCTTCCCTATAGCACAGGGTATATTCAGTCAGTGATTGTCATAGCAACCCTTTCTTGGGTGGTCTCATCTCTTTCTGGGAGATAAATTTTTCATTGAAAAAATAGTAAATGGGCAGATTTCAAAATGTGTGGAGGGGAATTAGTCACCCAAATTCCACTGGCATTCAGCACGTCTCTGTCTCACCTCTCTGGTTATGGAAATACCTTCTCAGGATAGGTTTTTTGGGTGGGTTGGTTTGGGAGGAGGGTGAGCGCATTGGAGTTGGGGTTTTTTCTTGACAAAGTCTTTTCAAATAGTTGTTCTAATATACATGTTAAGTCTAATGAGGACAACTAGTATGTCATTTAATCAGAGACTTCCATGTTTTCTGGAATTCTAGGCAGAGCTGGAATTCTAGGGCAGACTTTGAGCAGGAGACACTTATATTTCCCTTTTCCTTGCCCCATGTATGAATTTTGTCTCCTTCACTTTTCCTTCCCTCACAATCAGCAGTGAGAAAATTTGTAACTGCATTCACACCAACCACTGTACTAATGCAGGGTAACTCAAATTAGGGGGTAAACATGTAAAGTCTGAGGTTACTAGGGAGCTGGAATATTTCTATGCTGAGGTTGTCTGGAGTGAATTCCTTCCTTTTCCAGACCTGGCCATTCAACTACATTTTCTTTCATTTTAGGGGAGCACCTGCGAATCTGCCCACAAGGCTATACCTGCTGCACCAGCGAGATGGAGGAGAACTTTGCAAACAAAAGCCGAAGTGAATTTGAAGCCATGATGAAAGAGGCTGGTCGCTCTGTGCAGACGACCCTAACAGCGCAGCACAGAAGCTTTGACAGTAAGTAAAACCTGCTCGGTTCCCCTTGCTCAGGATCCAGTCACTACTTAACTTTCCAAGCACTGTTCAATCCAGGGATTCATGCTTGACTTGCCTTCTTCTGCATCTTGCTCAATAATTTGCGTGAAATGTTGACCTTCAATAGGAATTGTACCTCTGGCAGTGTTTTTGCAAGACCAAGTCATTTTGAGAACTTCATTTCAGTGAAGCCATTGAAGGATGCTGGCAGGCACTCATACCAACAAATTGCATACCTTGGCAGCGACACAGCTTTTACAAGCATGGCGTAATCGAGTCTTACCACAGCAGCGTAACATTTGAGGTAGTGATGTAAAACTTGGCACTATGCCTTGAGCTGTAAGTTGAACAATATGGTAAAGGTGAGTGGATAGCCCTCACTAGGTGGGGAGGGTTTAAGGAGGCATGGTTTTTTCTTGTCCTTTCCACATAGATTGCAAATGAAGAGGTGGTTAGTTCACATTAGATGCTTATACCTTTCAGTTTCATACAAATACCAGAAAACGTTGTACAGCAGTGAGGGTTTTAGAGGCTGTGGCACATAAGATGTCGTAGAGAAACATACTCTCCAAAGTACAAGTATCCCTGCTAACGTGCTAAGCAAAGGCTAAGGATGGCTCTCTTACTTCTATTGTTCCCTGAAGAATCCATTTTGCAGTGCACAGTAAGCCTCAAGGTCTGAAGGCCACTGGAAATAAATGGTTTATTGGCAAAATTGAGGTGACCTATGACTCAGAAACTGTATCCATTATCAGATTTTGAAGAAGGTCAGACATTTAGAATCACAGTCCTCCTAACTTTATCAACAGTCATCACATGGAGTTATCATGAAAAGAATAGGAGTTAGGGAAAGAAGCTGTAATAGCCAGAAAGGTGGAACTGGAAATTTCAAGCAGTAAATAATAGATCTAAAGAAATAAGCCTGACCTTCAGGGAGCTGATAACCAAGATTAAGTGCTTTTGCACTAAATAGAAAGAAAAAGCAGTGCATCTCTGCAAAATGCATTGTAACTGTGTGGCCAAGGTTGACCACAGCAAAGGCATTCCTTTAAAAGCTCAAAACTGATTGATTTTCACCTGCCTTAAAAAGCGATAACCAGGATTTTCAAAAGAGCCTTATAATGCTGGTTGCTCAGACTAATGTCTGAATGGGACCTGACGTAGCTGCCACTGAGAGTGATCACTGACCTCTGAAATCCAGCCCTTTGCAAGGGTTAATGCAGAACATCCACCAGCCTTGGCACCTTCTCCCTCCACTGCCTGTTGCAGCATTGGCTGGTATACCTGCTCTTTATTTTTTCCACAGACACTCAAAAGAACATAGTCCTACATCTGTCATGTAAGAGAGTGCAAAATTTGATGGAAGCTTTGAGGATTATATTGACGAGCAGAAATTGCCTAGTGAAGAACTGGTTTAGTATGAGTGTGATGTTTTGGAGGATTAATAATAGTAACAGCCATAAGAATAATAGTAAGCAAAACCAAGCATATGAAAGGGGGATGCTTGTGTTGAGATGCCAGTTAGAGCTGTAAGGGCTTCCCTTTTTTTTTTTTTTTATTTTCTCCCTTGTTCCCCAGCATTTTACAAAAAGAGATCTTCATTTCTGTGGTGCATACCTGAGTTTCTTTTAAGCATCAAATAAAGTAAGTGTTCAATAAGCCAAGTATTACTTAAGACCATAATGCACAGATCATTGGTGTTTTGCAGTGAGAATAACCTCACTTGAGCCCACAAGGCCAAGAAGATGTCTCCTGCTCCCATTATACCTTTTTGGTTTGTTTAACTACCCTTGCAATCAATATAGAGTTTATAATTTATGCAAGACATGATTTAAAAAAAATAATTCATCACATTATGTCCAAGTTTCAAGTATGACTTTACCTACAAGCAGTATTATTATTTTTTCTTTAGCTACTGTATAGATGGTTTAAAATTGAGGGAGTTCTGGTCATGGGGCAATGGAATCACCTCAGCTCCTGAAACATTGCCATAGAAACCACCCTATCTTCCAGTTAATGTTATTAGTCTCACAGTTAACAAGACTTGTTGCAGGTAGTGGTGTTTCAAGCTGTTCAATAAAAGAGTTTTTTAATGTCAGATTGATAAGTTCTAGTCTTTCTGGCACCGGCTGCCTGGTTTTGCTGGATTTCCTCAGCAGCAGCTTAGAGTGCGGGTTTTGGTGTTGCAGAGGTATGGATGCACAGCTTGTCTTCATATTAGTGATTTCGTTTGGCCTTAGGAGGACGTAGTGGAGGAGGCTCCACTGGATGGGGATGTCTAACACTTTCTCATAGTATTTGCAGCCTGGAGATCAGATTATTCATATATTCTCTGCTACCAGGTGTGGCATATTGAACTTTGGGCCTGGAGCTGTCTTTTTTAGATTCATCACGGTAAATCTTGCTTCTGTAATCTCACCGCTGATCATGGCAATAGTCTCTACTTGTAAATTTCCCTGAAGCTCCAGCTAGAAAATAGCAAGGCTACAGCAATCTGCCTCTGAAATAATATTCTCCATGCTAGTGTTCAACAGTTTGCTTTAGAGAATAATTCATCCTTGCAGGTTGTGCTCTGTAAAGCCCTAAATTGTCAGAGCGCCTCTACTCTGAGCTATGGCTTTGTCCCATTGCAAGGAATTATAATCTGTTGTTTCAGTCTCACTGGCTGCTTTTGGGGCAAACACTGGCTAAGAGCAGAGTGTCCTTTATCTCATAGAAAGTATTTTTAGAGAAAATATACATCTGAAATACAGATGACATATGATAGGTATAGCCATATATTCAAAAGTGATATATGTGGAACAGGATCCTATGGTTTGAGTGCTCTCTCTGCATAGTAGAGGATACATGCCTTCTGGGATGCCCTTCCTCCAGGATCTTCCAGGGCTAAATTTGAAGTTTAACAGCCTACAGTATTGCTTAGCTGCTTACTAGTGCATTTGTTGTTTTGCTTTAGTTTGTTGTAGTTAGCAGGATCTGGGGGCATGATATTTGAGCTAGACATGTGGTCATTGGCTTGGTGTTAACCTTTTAGCCGAAAAGGTAGAATTTTGCTCTACAACTGATTGGTTTTAATTTAAAAAAGAAAAAAAAGCACACTGATTGGGATGGGAGCAATGGGATCGTATGCTTTTGATAAGTCAGTGTTAGGGAGGACTTTGGGGTCAGGGTAGCGGTATTTCGTTAGCAGGATTATATGCACAAATTCTTTGTTAATTCTGATGTCCCAGGGCTCTTGGTCAGGCTGGGGGGGGGGTGTAGTTATCTGGGTGCACAGCCTGTGGCAGGGACCTACTGAAGGCTGCTAGGTTGGTTTTGGTTAGAGTTTATTTGCCTGGAAAATTGTAAGAGAAAAACCTGAATAATGAAAATGAAAACAACATAGGAGTCTTGGAGGCAGCTGGGACAGTCTCTGTTGAGACTGGTACTAAATATTGTTTTAAAGATGCTACCGACAATTATACGTGCCTCAGAGATTTTCATTGCAGAATGTGCTTGTTTTCAGACTGCTATTATCTCAGTGGATGGGAAATTTTCGGTATCTGTTGTTATAAAATAAATACTTTGACAAGGAACTTTGTTCAAGCAGATTGTTTCAAGAAACTGATGAGAGTTGCCTGTTGCCCCCTCTGCTGGCTGCAGAACGGGAGTTAGCCAGTGAAGTCCTTTGGTTCTTGAGTTGTGCTGAGAGCAAGTTATAAACATGGGGCAGGTTGGGGGGGATTCCTTGGGAAAATGAGCTTTTTTTTTTTTTTGCATATCACACAACTGTATGTCAGTGTTGTACAAAGTCCTGGGACTTTCAAACTCCTGTCCTTCCCAATGAAGCTTGTGCCTCCATACTCTATTACAGGGATGAGCCTAGAAAAACCTCTGGACCATGCAGGAAAGGCCAGAGGAGTGATTTGTGATGCCTGGTCAGAGCCTGGGAAGGCTGCACGGGCTGGGGCTGTACGGCTGGCAGAGGACACGGAAAGAGGGAGCAAGAGCAAGCGGTGCTTAGAGTGACAATGAGGGGCTACAAGCAGCAAGGAACAAGGCTGTTTTTCTAGTCTTGATGAAAGCTCCCTTGTTGAGAGTTTAATCCTTGTCCGTCTCTCTCTTTTCTCCCTTTTTCCCCACTTAAATCACTTTTTAATAATACTGCAATGCTGTGCCAATCTTTCCTTCCCAATCATTTTGGTACACTTAGCAAGCGCTCCCTGTGTGTCTGCTGACCTTTAGCTGTGAGCCAGGAAATCTGTCCTTTCAGAATTGTTTCATGTTTTCAGGAAATATCAACAAGCCAAACTGAAAATCTTGGCTTTTATTCCACACTGCACAGTCTAAAAATGATTTGTAGCTCTCATAAATTCTGGGATTTTTAAGCTGTGGCAATCAAATGCAGATTAAAAATTATGTATTTCATAAGCGGCTGCTCATTGGAAAGCTGATGTCATGTAAAAGCTTTCGTAATGTCCACTGTTGCTAGCTGGAAATTGCGTATGCAAACACAGACCATACAGATAATTAACATTATCTGAGAGTTAGTTTTAGACAGTTACATATTTCTTATGAAGATGAATCATTGTTTTAAATGTTACAACTGATGGTTTAGATTTTAGAGATTTCTAAAGGTCCCCATGGTACCTAATGTTTCAGTCCCTAAAAGGACTCTTTGGGGAGAGAGGCATATATACATACATTTATTTACATATACTCTGGATGCTTAAGGAAGCTGTTCAGGAGGCTGTGGAGTAAGCCCAGCAGGCAGAGCTCTGTCCTACCCCACTGACTTTAAACCTGGACTACAAAATCCAGACCTGCATCTGAATTTTGCAGGTGTTTTCTCAGTTGATGATAACATGAACCAAACCCTGCCAGCTGGAAAATTTAAGGTATCCCAATTTGGTGGCACACACACCAAAAGATGTGTTCTGAGAGATGTGGGACTACTCTGTGCGGAAAATGATTGACACAAGACTAAAGCAATGATTGTCTGG